TATATGCGGCTCATTCGCTGTCCTTCCAACTCCGAGGTTTCAGTATAAATAGGAAGGGCTCTGCAGCAAACCATGTATTCAACATTCAGCATCAGTGCAACACCGTTGCTCGAAATTTAGAAATAGAAAGAAAAGATCAGGCGTCCCCTAGAGTTCCTCTGAACACTTCACTAATGAGGAGCCAGTGGTTCTCAAATTCTGAATTACTGAAGTGTTTGGAGGAACTCTCGGTGCCGCTTGGTACGTAGCAGCCCGTGGTTCTCAAATTCTGAGGTTAGCGATGTTCCTACACCCCTTTCTTTTTATAGTAAGTTGTAATCGGGTATAAAACAATGGAGAATATATCTGTTAAAAAAATTACAAAACTTCCTTAGGAACTCCAAATCATGTCTTCCTAGCTCAAAGATAAAAATGCATTTTCTACATTTACAATTGCAATTTATAAAATCAATGTTAATTTTAGAAGCATACAAACTAATAGATTCATAAAAAAGACCGATAGATATATCCATTGGCGGATCCAGGGGTGGCCACCCTAGGCCCCGGCCCAGCCCTCTTCTGGATCCGTAGTTAGTATAGTCAGTTATGAATTTTTCGATTTTAGGCATTCGTTCCAGTGTTATTGTATAATAAGATTGGGTATAACTAGAAATATGATTCAGATGAACATATTCAAATCACTACTCTAAATTTAGCCTAGAAATTTCAGCCCCAAAGATTATGCGTCTAAAAAAAACCATGAAACGTAAAATTCTAAAAGTTTAAAATGAAAAATACTAAGAGAAATTGATTAGTCGATTGATTTGTCTAGTGTTGATGCTGCTCGTTTCAACAGCTACTACGAGGAGAACCTTTTCAACAATGAAACATGCGACAACTGATTTGCTCAACAAATGAGCGATGAATTTCTCTTCGATTGCTCTGTAGACTCCATTATTAATGCATTCTCTTAATTAAAATACTATCGGGTACAATTTAAATTGCAAAAAAACTATGATCATTATTTTTTTTACGGTTGTAATTTTCTAATGAAATTCGGCCTAGTGCTTCTCTGTGTTCTGGATCCGCCGCTGGATATATCTATCAAGCAAAAAATCTATTAACGACAAATATCAACGACATAAGTGCTTTCCGTCTTTGGTGTGAGACTAGCAACAACAAGAATGAAAAGGCTGTCGTTTATGTGAAATGGTAGAGGAAATATAATGAAATTTCGTTGTTACAAGCTGCTACTATAAAAATTTCATAAAGGGGGAAGGGAAAATAAGTGGCGGCGGGACTTTTGAGTGTTTTTCCAATCATTTAGTTAGGGGTGTTCAAACGGTATGGTTACCATGGTAATCGTTTTAACCAGTACTATTTGGATAATTTGGTTTGGTTAATTTAGAAAATTGGTTTGGTTTGGTTGAAGTTCTTAGCTTATTTGGTTTAGGTGGTTTGGTTTGGTTTCAGACACTCCTAACCAGCCAAAGCAAATTAACCAGATAAATAATTAGTCATATATCTAATATATACACATACTTAACACTTTGAATAACCACTCAAGAGTTAAACATTCATCCCTTTTAGAATCATAAAATATAAAGCTTGATATTGTTCCTATAATGTGTATATATATATATATATATATATTTAGAGTGTAGACCACAACATATGAACGCCTAGTTTAGATAAATCTCGTACATTATGTTGGATGAAAACTTGAAAGCATTGTCCTTTTCAGCCTATGAAAATTGCTAAAAGACTAAGTCAATTCAAACAAACACAACAATTTATTAACCCATATCATTGTGATAAATTTTTGTTAGGTGAATGCTTTTATACTAACCGTAAGATAATTGTCTTAGTTGCATGTATTTATATTAAGGGTCAACTATAACTATGTGTTGATTGTTATGTTTTATTCATTATATAAATTGTGAATTGATAAATTAACCAAAATTTTCTCACTTAATGATAATGTGATTTTATATTGGTTAATCTGGTTAACCAATTAAACTTTAGTTTGGTTAATTTGGTTGTTGTATTAGTTTGGACGGTTTGGTTATGATATTGTATTCCATGGTTAATGAAATTTAGCCTAATTTGGTTTGGTAATAATCATGGTAACCATTTGAACACCCCTACATTCAGCTGAAAGTGGAATAAAAGATTAACTTTATTGTAAAAAAAAGCTGAAGTGGTTGGTTTGGGCACAAAATCCCAACTTAAAAATCATAGATTTAAAATTAAGAATTTGGTTCAAATTTTTTTTTTTAACATACTCAGAATCAGAAGAAAGTCCGGACACAAAGTCAGAGTACAGAGGTCAGAGAATAACCACGGGCAGAAGTCGACTAATCTTCGAACTTCCGATTACTTAGCTGTTTTGGCCACAAAAGGGGGTTGCTCTATTAACTCGACGAGTAACATGGGAGCAAGAACAAAACTCAAAATGTCCGGCGAGCCTGCGGATGTCTTCTAGGATTGCTCCTCCGGTGGCATTTTGAGTATTGCCCGCCAACACCTGCCGAATAGTCAGAAGAGAAGTGCCATGGCAGTTTAGGAAAAGAAAATTTTGTGATAAGAACCATGATAAAGATACATAATGCCAAAATATCCGCAAGAAAAGAATCATTAAGGCCTGCATAGAACTTACTCGTGACAAACACGATCATATCCGAACTATCATGTCCAAACATAAGCAATACTTACTCCCCGCTTACAACCGCAAATGCCTTTTTTGGAACACCTTGGTTTGCCCGTGCCAACTCTCACTATCGAGAAGCATAAGGAATGGAGGCTTGTATTGTTGAGGTAAACCTACACGCCCCTGCCAATACGAACGAACACACAAGCGCCCTACAATAGGACAACTAAGCTCCACCGAGTGGATTGAAACAAGCCATTGAGACTTAGTCGGATAATCCGAATCCAAAGCGCCCAACGTCAAAATAATAACAATTTTTGTTTTGAAAGTATAGTAAAAGAAAAGTAATGAAGAATGGAGGTAGGCATGGCAACAAAACCCGAACCCACGGGTACCCGCCCGACCCAACCCGGTCAACGCGGGTAAAATCCGTGTTGACGGGTTTTGGGCTAGGTTTGGGTTTAAACCCGTTCACTATTCACTGGGTTGGGTTGGGTTTGGGTTTAGGTAAACTCGGCCCATGGGTACCCGCCCACCCCCATGTAATTAATTTTATCGGCATATTTAATATTCTAAAGAACTAATATTATTTATGTTTGTGGAGACATGTCTAATTTTTTCTTTCTAGTTGTGTAGAATGAAGTTGATGTTATCGAGTGGAGAGTGAAAAACTTAATTGAAAGGAAGAAGTTTTCAATTAATCATGTTATTTATGGATAATTTGTGATTTGCTTTAATTTTCTTGAGTTTTCTAGATTGGTGTTGAACAATTTGTATAGTTAATTTGTGATTTGCTTGAATTTTCTAGAATGGTGTTTTATATATGGATAATTTGTATTGAGAGATTGATATTTGACTTAAATTTTGATAGGAACTTGTTATTGTGAATTTTTTTACTACAAAAACCCGTGGTAACCCATGAACCCGCGGTTACCCAGCAGGTTGGGTTGAGTTTGAACTTTTCAAAACCAGTGGGTTTTACCGCTAGTTTATTTCACGGATAAACCCATGGGTTTGGGTTTGGGTTTGGCAATTACTACACTTTCAAAACAATTACTATGAACTGGCAATTACTGTTTTCGGCCCCTTTGATTCTCGTCTTCCCCATCTCCCTCTTCCCCCGCTTGTCTCCCACCGGCGTTCCAGTGTCAAAACGAGCAACGAAACACAAAAGTGAAACACAAGACTCGAGTTTATTAACGTGGTATCGTCAGGATAACACTAGTCCATGAAGAGGATCTCCCTCTCAGGTTTTGATTTTATGATTTTCTTAACTTAGGAGCTCTACATGTGTACAATATTCATAGCCAACTAATCCTAACTACACACGGCTAGCTATTAATCCACGTCACATACGGTATTACTCAATTACACAATGGACCTTAATTAACACCCTCCCTCAAATTGATGTTGCGTATGCAACATCAATTTGGATGATAGCTACCATTGTCTACTGGAAGAAACAACCTTTGTCAACAAATCTGGAGTCTGGTCTTTCGTAGTCAAATAGCTAAGCTGTACCACACCTTCTGCAACCAACTGTAGTATGTAATGCACATGTACTTCAATATGTTAGTACACTCATGCAGAATTGGATTAAGGGCTATCTGAATTGCACTCATATTATCTCCATAAGGCCTGATGGGAACTCGATACCTTTCGCCTAGATCAGAAAGTATGTGCAATTATGCCCGAATCTGTGCCATCAAGCTGAACATGGTATGGCCCGAGTTCGGCTTGTTTAGTTAGCGAGCGAGCTCGATTAAAACGAATCAAGTCTCGAACGAGTTTTTTTCGAATCGGACACCGAATCGTTCATGAGCGACTTGGTTCATTAACAACCCTACTTATTGGACCACTAATCCTAGACAGTAGCTAATTATTGGGGTAAATTGCAAGTTTGGTCACTGGAATTACTAAAAAATTTCACGTTTGCCACTAAAATTAGTTTATTCCATTCATGGTCACTAAAATTAGTTCAACGGTTCAAGTTTGGTCACTCTCCGTTAGTCTCCGTTAACTTTATCTGACGTGGCAGTCAACTCTAAAAGTTGACCGTTAAATAAGTGACGTGGCAATTTAAAAAAATAAAAAATATTTTTTTATAATTTCCACATCATTATCACAATAAAATAAAAAATAAATAAAACCTAAAAATTATAATTATAATTCGACCACCACCGACTTCTCCATTCCACATTGCGGCTTAGGAAGCTTGAGTCCATCCCCGTTCTCCACCAAACAATCCCTAATCTACCTTGTCTTATCCCTAATTCCGCTACCAATTTCTGCAACCACAACTTGCTCATGCTCAATCACCCTCGCCACCTCTCCCCTGTCAATCCGATCAACCCTTCATCTCGACACCAACTTACTCAACCAACCTCACATTCGTCCCCTGGTCGTTTTGCAGCGGCATCGCCACCATCGGCACTCCGTACTTCATCCCTTCCGATACCGAGCTCAACCCGCAGTGGCTAACGAACCCGCCCACCTTCCGGTGCTTCAATATCCTCTGCTACGGAGCCCAAACCACCGCCACGTATCCTCTCTCCCCCACCGCCTCCAGGAACCCTTCCGGGCAGCGCTTCGCCGGACATTTCTCTTCCCCTTCGAAAAACTCAGAACCCATATGAAATTCAGCCCTTTCGTAGCCAGAATCAGCAGAGCCTGGCCTAGTTCCTCCCTCTCCCTGCCGATAGATACGACTCACTCCCGAATGAAATGTACGCCACGGCCGTCGAGGGGTCTTTTTCGTTCAGCCATTTCACCACTTTATTGTCGGAGTCGGAGTCATCTCGCACGAGCGGGCCGACGGGGACGACCTCCTTCCCGATGAACTCCGAGACCCGGTCAATTACTCTGCTAGTGTCTCGTTGAGTGTCGTAATCGAACATGTAATTGGACCAGAGAGGGAAAACCATGTCGAATCTGCCGGAATTTTTTCATGGAGGTGAAGGTAGAGCGGTGGAGAAGGCAGCATTGGTTATGAACAGAAAGCTTGGTTAGAATCAAGCTTCCCGAGTCGTAGATGTGGAATCGGAGAAAGCGGTGGCGCTCAGTTACGTCGAGCGGAATTATAATTATAATTTTAGGGTTTATTTTTTTATAATTTATAGTGATAATGAGGTGGAAATTATAAAGTGTAAATTTTATTTTTTTAAATTGCCACGTCACTTATTTAACGGTCAACTTTTAGAGTTGACTGCCACGTCAGATAAAGTTAACGGAAACTAACGGAGAGTGACCAAACTTGAACTGTTGAACTAATCTTAGTGACCATGAATGGAATAAACTAATTCTGGTGGCAAACGTGAATTTTTTTAGTAATTCCAGTGACCAAACTTGCAATTTACCCCTAATTATTGGGTCATAGCTAAATCAAACTTTGTGGTCCGTAAATGAGCATTTATTGGGCTTCATTTTGTATTTGTGGGTTTTCCGTAACAAACATTTCACTAAGAGAGGTAAACACACTGGGCCTAAATATTGGGCTCATGATTTCTGTCCTTTGAGCTTGGAGTGGCGGGATTTCCGTTTTTTGGCAAATAGTTTGGTAGAAGTTGTATGACTATGTAGAAGCATCCCAACTTTTTCTTGTCCCTAACCATTCCGCAGGTGATGTCCAAGCATAGATTTTTGGTGCAATAAGCAATAGGAAGATAAAGTAGAAGGGAAATCAATGATTTGTAATGATTGTTGAAAAATTGTATTGTATTGACGGTACGATAAAAAAATAATTCTACTTGAAGCAAAATTAGTAGACAATATTTGCCGGTATGAAATGGATGTACAACGGTTAAACCACACTTTGAGCCCAAATTACTTACCGTTGACTTTTTCTAGGGGTGGCCAGCGGCGGATCCAGAACACAGAAGAGCACTGGGCCGTATTTTATTAGAAAATTAGAACTATAAAAAAATTAATAATTATAGTTTTTTTACAATGTAAATTGTACACAACGGTATCTTAATTTAGCAGATGCATCAATTATGTAGTTCACATCCATACCAATAGTATACTCGATCTGTCCCAAATAAAATACTTGGGCAATTGGCAAGAAATTCATCGCTCATTTATTGTGCAAATTAGTTTTACATGTTTCTTTGTTCAAAAGGTTCTCTCAGGTTCTCTCTGTAGTTGTTGTTGAAACGAACAGCGTCAACACTAGACAAATCAATATCAATTTGCATTATGTGTCCATACCTATACCACCAGTTGTCTAGTAAATTTTCAAGATAACAAACCTCATATTTCTTTTAGCCTATTATGCTTTAGAATTTCAGGTTTCATTGTTTTTTTTAGACGAAAAATCTTTGGGGCTAGAATTTTTCTAGGCTAAATTGAGATTAGTGATTTCAATATGTTTTTCTAAATCAATTTGCTAATTATATCCAATTTTATTATAAAATAACATAGGGCCGAATACCTAAATCGAAAATTCATAAGGCCTATACTAACTATGGATCCAGAGGAGGGCTGGGCGGGGGCCCGGGGTGGCCACCCCCTGGATCCGCCACTGGGGGTGGCTATACGTTCCGGTACGGTTAAATTGGACCAAATTGATCTGGTCTCAGTCCGGTCTTTTCGGAAATATAAGGACCAAAGATTGGATTGGATACAATCAGATCTTGATCCGGTTCGGTCTTGACCCGGTCCGGACCCAATTTAATCTTGAAATTAGGTGTTGGGGGTCTCTTATCCTGTCTTTATCCGGGTTTTTTCTCTATCATTCATATTTCATTTCTCAAGATAAAATAAATATATTATATTATTAATTATTGTTAAAAGTGCAATTCATTTCTTTAGTTGGAGGAATTATACCAAACACTAAAATTGGAAATGGAATTCTATAAAAATAGGAATTGGAAATAGAATTCCATTTCCATTTCTTCTTGAATTGTATCCAAACAGGCTGTAAGTGAGCCGCTATTTGCCGCTATTGAAATTGCTATTTGCCGCCAACTAAAAAAAATTCAAATTTTGGATTTTTCCTTCTATTCATTCTATAAATTTGAATTCCGATAACATTTGACTGATTCCAAAAAAAACCTCTGTCGTCGAGCCTATTGCCTCTGTTTATCGAAATGGTCATTATAGGGTCGGGTCATCTTTTGACCCTGTAAGGGTCGGGTAGGGTCGAGTCAGCTTAGGGTTAGGTCACTTTTTGACCTTGTGATCCTTAGCAACAACTAGTGCATGAAATTATACATGCCAACACATAGGACCTATTTGTAAAAGTTTAAAATTTTAGGTACTAAATTGTTAAAAAAAATTGGGTATCAAAATGTAATTTTACCATCAAAATTTAATTAATTATTTGTAAAAAAGTAAATTTTAGGTACTAAATTGTAAGAAAAAATAATTTGGGTAGCAAAATGTAATTTGTGCAAAATCAGTGTGTTGATAAGAGTCGACCAACTGAACCGACCATCTCCAACCTGCCTCGACCCTAGAGGGTCAGACAGGGTCAAGAAAGAAACAGGGGCTGGACAGTCATGGTCAGGACAGGGTCAAGGGCGGGTCAAGGTAATTTTCTACCCTAATTTCAACCCTTATATTCACCAAGAGGTGTGAAACTTGTCCCATAACATGTCAATACTCTTTCAAGCTTGTAGATGTCGTTTAGCCCTCATTCGGTTGCAAGCTGCACTGGCATGAGCATAAGGTTTTTTTTTTTTTGTTAAGGATGATATAAATTAATAAAAATCTGAAAAAGATACAATAAATACAAGGACAAAACAAAGCTGGAAATAAAAGGAAAATAGGCGCAAGGGAGGACAAAGGAAAATAGGCGTGGAGCCGGCCGAAAAACTCTTTCAGCCCGGCGGCGTTCAGACCACAAATTTTTTTCGGCCGTCCGTCCGTCGAACACGGTTTATTACCGCTTAATGAATAATAAGATTAGAACCATGCTTTTTATAATAGAATTATCACAGGATAACTAAATTATGAATATTTTTCGAATCACTCTAATTTTTTTTATTATGAATAAATATGTTTTTTTATATACAATTAAAATTTTTATTTTGATTGAATGTTGACAATCACAGTTACCAACAAATTGAAATCTTTTTTGAACAATCAAAGTGTTAAAATATTTGGATTGGTTTACTATCTATTTTCCAAACCATCCCTAATTAAGTTTAAACCACTCTTTCGTTTGCTTCTGGTTCATCTTCCTTCGCTGCAAAGCTATGTTCTTGGTTGTGTAAGTTTTTCGCGATGGGGCGAAGCATCAATGAAGATGGACAGATGGTGATAATATCGAAGAAGCCTCAAATACTAAGAGTACCGCTCGGGCACCAAAGGTGCTTACTTCCATAAGACCATAACAGCTTCGTCGGATTGACCCGGCATTAAATGGTGTCAAAGCCAGATTCAGAACCCATCGTAAAACATCACCGGATTCAGATCTCGTTGTCCAATCAAGAACTCAGCCGAATAACTAATAACTCTTATTTTTATTGTATTCCGTTCCGTGTATTATCTCTTCCCCGCTACATAGATCGATGAGAAGCCTTTGTTCATACAAAAGCATGACGGTAACAATTTACTCGGACAACATACACAACAGCATTTCTTAATTAGTTAATTAAGCTCAACAAAACTTGTTCTTCTCGTATCTGGCACAACACTCCTCCGTCCCGTACTGACCTCCATCTTTGCCCTGGCAATGCTCGCGCATGTTTTGAGTCGCTGTGCTCAAGCAGGCAGCGCAGTTGGGATCCTTGTCATCAGCACAAGAAGAATGCATGTAAGCAAGTACTGTTGGAGGAGCATGATGATGGTTGTAGAGCGGCTGGCACTCTGACGTGGTCACGAGTTGCGATAATACTGCCTCCTGCGCATCTGCTATATCAAAGTCGGTCGGACTACAAAACCATTCGTTGGAGGCAGCACACAGTGGATCCAGGGCTGCTTCAGCAGAGATAATCATTGTATGAATTAGCGACGACAACAAGGAAAGTTGCAACAGTATGGTGACGACCATTCGGGCATCCAAGCGACGAACCTGCAACTGCAAGACCATCTCTGTTGGAGGCACGGATCTTGGGCACCGAGATTAACGTAACAAAATAGAGTTTAGAAAGAGATTTAGATTGGTTGAGAGGAGAATTGGGCAGAATTGGACGATTTAAAATTGAGATTAGGGTTCTTGAAAGAGACTAGAGAGGATCGGAGAGATAATTCTAACAATACTTTGATTACGCTTTTCATTCATATCCCTAATGATAAGAGCTAAAGTACATTATATAATATATAGATGCTGGCCAGAAACCATAATCGACTAAACCTAATAAAATACTAAACTACCCTTACACACTAATCATACCCGCAATAACCTCTCTTTCTCGTGGTTAGCTAGCTAGGTAGTATGTGTTCTGAGTGAAACGGCTACAGCTTTATAATGTTGGGAGATGGATGAATTGAATTTGGTTGCTT